TCTTTTCTTTTCTTTTTTCAATTTTTCCAATTTTCCGGAAAAAAACAAAAAATCTTCAGGGGAAAAAACGGAAAAAAACTGGTTTTTTTCTGAATTTTTCCGGGTTTTTTCCGGGCCTTCACATCTCTAATTGACCCCATGGGCAGATACATTTTTCTCAAAGGCTCCATAGAGGGCAAGCTCTGGTCTTTTGCCTCCATCTACGCTCCAAATGAAGACCATCTCTAGTCTTCACGCATTTAAGGAAGGCCACCTGATTATAGGAGGAGACTTCAATTTTATAGCTGACTCTGCCTGGGATAGATCACACAATGCACCCTGGAAATAAAGACAACAGCAATCCCCAACCAAACTGGCGAAGCTATTGGATTCCTTCAATCTCACAGACACCTGGAGGGCGAAGCACCCACAAGAATGTGATTACTCCTTCTTCTCTGCCAGACACAATGTATTCACACGGATTGATTATATTTTAATTTCTTCTTAATTGATGCCATTTTTGCAATCGACTACCATTGGCCGCAGACATCTATCAGACCATGCTTGGCTAGACTGCCATCTCAACACTCTGATGGAAGAAAAATATGACAGACAATGGTCCCTGGACACTTTCATTTTATTGCGTGCTTCAATTACAGAAAAAATGAACAAAGAAATCGTAAACTTCTTAGAAATACACAAGGACACTGAAACAAAGCTGGCAATTCAGTGGGATGCATTGAAAGCTTTCCTGCGAGGAGCCATGATATCAGCAACCACTCACCTGAAACAAGAAACAAAAAAGCTGAGACTGGATACATTGAATCGGATCACCACCCTGGACCAAGGACATAAAAGAACGGGAAACAGTTTGACATATCTCAAACTACAAGCAGAACGAAAAGTTCTTGACTCGTTAGAAATCAACTCAGTCCAACGGAACATGCTGATACTGAAACAAAAATTCTGGCACAAATCAGCAAAAAACATGAAATTGCTTGCATGGAGGGTGAAAGATAAGAACAAGAAAGCGATCATAGGCTCTCTAAAATCTCCAAATGGAGAAGAGATTGGATTTATACCCTGCCCTTCACTACCCAAAGGTGTCTCAGAGTGGCTTACAAACTCCTTTCCCTTCCCCTCCTCACAACAGACACCCTGTGAGGTAGGTGGGGCTGAGAGAACTCTTGACAGAAACTCACACCACCTCAAGAAACATTGCGGACACCTTCGCAAAATTCTACGAACAGCTGTATCAGTCATTCTTCCCGAGTTTGGACTCAATCAACACATATCTGGACTTGCTTACCCCTCTGAAATCTCTATCTGCAACCCAACGGTTGGCATTGGACAGCCCCATAACGCGTAAGGAAGTAGAAGATGCGATCAAACAAACAAAACTGAACAAAGCTCCAGGAATTGATGGCCTTCCGGCCGAATTCTATAAAACATTCTGCTCTACTCTAACTGACCCCTTATTAGCGTTATTCAACTCAGCTCTACACGATGGAATCCTACCACCATCCTGGTCAGAACCTTCAATAACAGTCATTCCCGAGAAGAACAAAGACCCAACAGACCCGGCGTCATACCGCCCCATCGCCCTGATTAATAACGATGCCAAGCTATTCTTGACGATCCTGGCGAACTGCCTTAAGAATGTGGCACCTGATCTCATCAGCTTTGATCAAACGGGGTTTATATTGAACAGACAGATAATGGATAATATAAGAAGATCTCTAAATGTGATTTTACAGGGAAAGTGCTCCAAGAAAGAATATCTGATTCTGGCCTAAGATTTTGAGAAGGCCTTCGATTCAATAGAAATTCCGTATCTCTTAACACTGCTACAGCATGTGGGGTTCGGCCCAAACTTCCTATCAGCACTACAGGCAATATATCGCAATCCTAAATCCAGGGAGAGAATAAACAATCTAAATTCAGCTTTCTTTTCTCCCTCTAGGGGAACGAGGCAAGGGTGCTCACTCTCGCCACTAATGTTCACACTCGCAATTGAGCCTTTGGTGGAGGAACTACGCAACAATAAATCCTTTACAGGGGTCACCATAGATGGCAAGGAACATAAATTAACAATGTACGCAGATGACATGGCTCTTTATGTTTCCAACCCAACCACATCCTTGCCGGCCATAGCCGATACCATCTCTAAGTTTGGTAAGGTTTTGGGCTTGCGGCTGAATACAAACAAATCGGAAATTTATCCCATCATGATCCATAAAAAGTCCAGATTGGACTTACAAGAAAAATGTCAATACAAATGGATAACCTCTGAGTTGAGACATTTAGGCGTTCAAATACCCACAAATCTGGATAAACTTCTGGAATGCAAGTTTCACAGGACGCATAAGGATATTCAAGGGAAAATACGGAATTGGAATGAACATCAGCTCTCCTTAGCAGACAGGCTGCAACTGATACAAAGCTTTATATTTCCATGCTTCTTGTTTCTCTTTAGAGTAATACCCATATTCTTCGGGGATAAGGAATTCATAAAATGGCAACGTACACTGACAAACTTCCTGTGGAACTCGAACAAATCCAGAGTGGACCACAGACATCTCACTTGACCAAGCTACATGGGAGGTTTGGGACTACCTTCACTCCGCCGGTACCAACATGCGGCAATGTTGACGAACGTAATAACGATGCTCCAGAAAGATCTAACTACAAGCTGGTATCATATTGAACAATCTTTTGTACGACCCTTTTCTATTCAAGACACTATATGGATGCCCAAAGCCAGCTGACCTAAGAACATAACATACAATACTTTCTTAGACTCCACTTTACGAATCTGGGATACACACAGGAAAGTATTAGCACCGAGGGGGTCTCCTATGTCCAACTACACTAATCAACCTTGGTTTACTCCCGGCCAAGAACCAGAAGCTTTCCTGACATGGACGAACGCTGGACTCTGCAGACTACAAGATCTTGCCCCAAAAGGATATCTCCACCCCAAATCTCACTTCGAAGAAATATTCAAAACAAAAATATCCTGGCTGAAACTATATCAAATCAAAAGCCTGATTGACTGGGCAGCTGATCAAGGAACATTCTCAAGACCCGAAACAATATTCGAGCGCATTCTTGACAAATCAGCTGTTCAAACAAAAGGTATTCTTTCACAGGTCTACAAATCCTTGCTGGAAGAGGGAAAAGACAAATTTATGTCGAATAAAACAGCCTGGCACAAAGATCTTCGCAGAGAGCTATCCACCCAACAATGGACTGAAATCTGGAGCTCACACGCTTGCAAATCTAGAATCTTTTCCATACGGCTACAGTTTTTCAAACTCCAAACATGGTGGTACCTCTCCGCTGTAAGACTGAGACATATGCACTCTGACTATAATCATCTCTGCTGGAAAGGGTGTGGGGATGTAAGTGATTTTTTCCACTGTTGGTGAGAATGCCCGGCTATACAATCTTTCTGGAGACAAGTGATTGAAGAGATCGCAGCAATCACATCTCAACAGCTCCCTCTAGATCCTGCAGTAATACTATTGCAGCTAGTGGACAGAGACTCCCGGAATATGAGCATCTCGATTCTTACTTCCACTCTTCTAGCCTCTGCTAGGCTAACTGTGGCAGCTGTTTGGAAATCCCTGGACCCACCAGATATTAGAACATGGAGAAACAAATGCTGGGACCACTTCATGATGGACAGGATTGCTGAAACACACAATGACAGAAAACACATGGCCTCAAAAACAAAATCTAACTTTGTCAAAACATGGTTCTCCTTCCTTCAATACATGGTAGAACATGATATAATCCCTCAAAATCCCCATTACATGGAATGGCTTCGTTTATAGACCCTCAACATTCTTAGTCAGACTCTATATTTTAATGTTTGAAATAGCTACTGAGCATGGGTTCATTATGACATATTGATTCCCTTAATGTTGATTACTGTTTTCTTGCGTACTATTTTGATGGTGCTTTTACTGTTGGCAGCTTTGCAATTACATACAATGTTTATTCTGTTTTTAAAAAAGTTTCAATAAAATATATTTTTAAAAAAGTATAGTTCTTCTATATATTCTTGCCATCTCTTCCTAATCTCTTCTGCTAGGTCCCTACCGTTTTTGTCCAAAGCCTTGGACAGAATGTTCCCTTAGGCTCTTACATATTAGTTTACACTAACAGTACACTGTTTACTGGATATTGCAAGCACATATGCAGAGGCAATCTGCTCCAACAGCTCCTTTGTGGTAGTTCCACATATGACCAGTTGTTCACATTGAAGAGCCATAAGTGCTTCATTCACACATTCTGAAAGAATAGGTAGACCTCTGCTGTAGTGGCAAGTAGGAAGCACAGACTTTTGCTCGGCAGGAATACTGAGGGCTGGGACAAGGAGTAGAACCCAAAGTGGGAAGCTGAGAGGATGGGAGCCTAGATATTAGCAGACAGACCAATATAATGGGACTTTAGGGAGGGTAAAAGAAGACGCAGGGAGTAAACATTGAGTTGCCTTATAGGGAGGCATACCGTTGCTCTGTCAAAGTCTGTATTATCCACTCTGTCAGGCAGTGACTCTTCAGGGTCTCAAGTAGAGATTTTCCTTTTTTTAAAAAAAACAAACATTTTTTATTGTTTTTCTAAACTACAGATCTACAGGATCAGGGGAAGGGAACAACCTAAAATTAAGAGAAACAAGGATCCTTAATACAGAAATTTAAACTTGTTGATACATCCCTGTTATCAAAGTAGTAAAGCGTGAGAGTTAATAATATAAAAATATCAAATTAAAAAGCAAGCAATCACAAACATATTTGACTGTAGAGGTTTTCCAATACCATCTCCTACCTGATCCTTTTTAAACTGGACATGTGGGACTGAAACTGAGACCTCCTGCATGCAAAGCAGATACTTTGTCCCTGAGGCGTGCCCCTTCCCATTTACTGTTGGCCTTCTTTAAACACTTATAATGACAGTTGTTATTAGCTGAGAGAGTGATCATAGCCTAGTCTAATACAAATATTTTGTTACAGTCCAGTTGGAAGCAAATTTCAAGGAAATGGAGAACCACTTACTGAATCTTGAGGATCTCTGTGGACAGTGTGAGTTGGAAAGATACAAGCACATACAGGCACTTCAGCTGGAAAACTACAAGAAGACTAAACGGTAATTTTGAGTGTATTGCTCTCTTAAATTTTTACATTTGATTTAACTGACTACAGAGCCTTAAGTTCTGTACATAAGCAAAGGCTGAGCTTAATCTCTCTCTCTCTCTCTCTCTCTCTCTCTCTCTCTCTCTCTCTCTCTCTCTCTCTCTCTGTGACTGAGGAGTTGCAAATTTGCACACCTTTCAAGAACAGGGATTAGTCTGTTTCCTGTGATAACGTCTCCTAGCCCTCACTGGCAAAGGGATTAAAAGATCTGTTCTGTGGTGGTCCAGCTTCTTACACCTGTCACGCTAAGACGGAGAAGCTGGGTGTAGGTCAGGAACAGCTGAAAAACCAAAGTGAAAGCAGGATTCGAGTCCAGGAGCAGTGAAAGTGAAAGCAGTCTGAGGATATTGCAGCCAGATGGCCTTCACATCCAGCTGTCTGTTTCATTTTGTATGTCCAGGAGGTCTTTATCTTAAACTGAACTGCAGCAGTTTAGTATGGCAATAATGTGTGCCGCTTGTTTGGTAATTGATTTAAATCTAAGTAAATCTTAATTTCGTCAATATTCAATAGTAGCAAATAGAGCGAGAATCTTTTCCAAATCATTGTAATAATACTCCAAAGCAGATTTGAATTATGAATTGTACACCCATTTTCATACCGTTTTCTATGATGTACTAAAAATGGCTTCTTTTTTTTGTTCCTTAGCTGTGCAGTCCTTTGCTGTTACTTCAGTCTAAGTCCGTTGATTTCAGTGTCTTAGACTGGAGTCACTGTGTATTGGGCTGCACTGTTAGACGTTCAGCCATCTAGGAATAGTAATGTCTTGATTTGCCATATTAGTAATTTTCTGTCAACACTGCTCTGATTCATAGTAAAGGGCATTGCATAATTACGACAGACTTGATTTCTTTGGCGCAGATGAGAAAATAAATACTGCTAGCAACAATAGGGTCCAGCTATTTCCGGATGAGCTAAGTGATAAATTTGTTCATCAAGTTGTCACTCAGCCCTCTGGAGAAATTGCAGTGTTCGGTTTACTGCTGGCATCCAAAGAGAATACGATAAATGGCTATGAGGGATAAACTCGGATCAAGTAGTAATGAGGTGGTTCAGTTTGATTTAACTGGAAAGCCAGTTGGCACTAGAACTGAAGCGAAGTTATTTGGCTTTTTTAAAGGTGTCTTTTTAAGAAGCTCTGGAGATGAATCAATGAGCTCAGTTAAGTTCCAGAGCTTACATCACTGAAGTGGGAAGGCATTGCATGCACAAAGGTTGCAATATTCACACCAAGCAAGATGGCGAAACTGTACGGGAAAAGGCTTTAAGGTTCAGCTCGATAAATAAAACCCCAGAGTTTCATGGCATAACACCCCCCCCCCCAAGAATAGTAAAAGGCTTTTGTTGGCAAGGGCTGTCTGTTCACCAATAAATCTTCATTCTTAGGAGGTAGTGGTCACTCTTAGGCTGATATAATACTAGCCGAAAGAAATAGAATCTCAGTGTATTTTCTCAAAAGTGTATTTTCAGAATCCTTAGTGGCCATTAACTTCTGCTGAGCCCAAAAAAGGGAACTTGTATTTCTCTTAGACGCTTTCCTCAGATTCCAAAGTGGTATTTTTCTTATAGTTTAAATTCCAGAGGGGATAGCTGTATCACACCAAAAACAAAAAACTAACTGATTTCATTACAGCAATAAGTCTTTGCAGGCTAGAGTCCATTTCTTTCTTTTTTTGCCATCAGGTCAGACTGACTTCTAGTGACCCCTAATGGGGATTGAAGGCAAAGGGACGTTCAGAGGTGGCTTGCAATCTACTGCCTCTGTATCACAACCGGTGTTCCCTCTAAGCTGAGTTAGCGTGAGCTACCTTACAGTTTTTTAGCCTCTGGCTCACACATTTTTGTCTTAGCTCAGGAAGGATGGCTCCAGAGCAAACTAATTTATGCAGTAGCCAAATCGCTAGCTCACAACTTTAATGCCAGTAGCTCACAAAGTAGAATTTTTGCTCACAGGACTCCACAGCTTAGAGGGAGCATTGGTCACAACCCTGGTATTCCTTGGAGATCGCCCTTCCGAATACCAGCCAGGGCCAGCTCTGCTTAGGTTCCGAGATCTGATGAGATCGGGCTTGCCTGAGCTATCCAAGTCAGGGCAGGCTAGAACCCATTTTGTCAGATGTAGAAAGTGACTCCTTCGTCAGCGGATATATGTCTACATGGATATAAAGGGGGCGGGGAATTGAACAGTGGGGTTAAAAGGCAATGAAATACAAAATGGCACAATGTGGCATACCTATGTAAAACTGCAGAACACAAGGTAAGCACACTGACCATTCTCAACAGTCTGGGGCAAGTGATGCTCTGTCTTCTTGGTGCTTGGGGGGGGGACAGTGGGAGGGCTTCTAGTGTCCTGGCCCCACTGGTGGACCTCCTGATGGCACCTGGTATTTTTGGCCACTGTGTGACACAGAGTGTTGGACTGGATGGGCCATTGGCCTGATGCAACATTGGCTTCTCTTATGTTCTTAACAGCTGAAATGAATGATGATGCAGTCTCCCTAGTTTTGCTAAGCTAATTAAACAGTGATAGTGGGAGAGAAAGCATTGATGACTTCCCACATCATGGTAGTCCTTATCCATGAAGAGTAGTCTTTCTGTGAGAACTGCATGTTACACTTTTTAAATGGCAGTTCCAGGTTCCGTGGACCACTTGCACTCCCTGCAGCCACAGAAGAGCTGCACTTTAAAGGACATCAGGGGCCCAACCGGGCTTGGGACCATGGCGTGGCAGAAGGAGGGGTTCCTGCCTCCCCCCTGCATGCCAGTTTCCGAAGCTGAAAGCCCTATGGTGGGGGGGAGATATATTTGCTCCATTTTGGAGCCTCACATGTGTGGAAACATAATGTGTAGTTTTGCTGTAAGTGTACTAAAATGCACCTAACCACACTTGGCAGATTTTTGTCCCATTTCCATTCATCACTGTGTTTTATTCCCCTTCTCAGCTCAAGTGAAACGATTGACAGCTTGCTTGACAGATTTCACATGTTTATTAAAAAAAAATAGCTTGCATTTACTTTTATGCAGTATTCTTTAAAGAATTCTCTGAAAACATTTTAAATAAGCCTCAAATTCAAATGTGTTTTCTTCAGTCTACAGTGTGTAACGCAATACCTCCAATTTTTGAATAACCAGTGAGGTTTCGAGATAGCTTTTGATAGTTTGAAATATTTGGGCTCCTTAAAAACAAGCATCTCTCCATTCCTTATAGCAATTTCAGCTTCCAAACATTTCTAAAGTCAAGGACTCCCTTGTGGGAGCTGTTGTGCTAACAGCTGGAATGTACTTACCGTAATTGTTAATCAATACCTTGATTCCCGGTAAATTGAAGATCAGTTATCAGTTTTGAAATTCAGCTTGATTACAGGTAGAGAAATAACTGTTCTTTGTGGTAGGTCTGTTCACTTAGCTGCTGAAATTAGGAGTTGGATCCAACGTTCCCTCTAAGCTGTGGGCTCTTGTGAACAAAACGTCTACTTGGTGAGCTCCCGGCATTAAAGTTGTGAGTGAGCAATTTGGCTACTGCATAAATTAGTCTGCTCTGGAGCCCTCCTTCCTGAGCTGAGACAAAAAAGTGTGAGCCGGAGGTTAAAAAACTGTGAGCTGGCTCACACTCACTCAGCTTAGAGGGGACACTGGTTGGATCCCATGGAGCACAGAGGGGGCAGTGACTTTTGCTGCCCTTTTCCTTTTCCTGGGGGGGTGACACTACTGCAGGGGGCAGATGGGAGGGCTGGCTTGCAGCACCCCTGCGAGGAAGGCCGGTCCCCTGCCTCCCTCCCTCCCTCCCTGCAGAGGAGGCCACCGATTTCAAGGGACATTTTTGGCAGCAATGGGAAGGGGGAGGAAAGGAAATTGTGCTTTGCTGATGGAAATCCTTCCTTCAGTGGACATTTTTGATGGGTTCAAAGCCTAGCACTGTCCACTAAAGATTCTATATCTGGGTTTACCCTATTGCACATCATGTGGATCTCAAAATATTGCCACTTTCAGGACCTGTGTGAGAATGTGAAACCTCAGCAAAAAATTGTTGCTCATCATTGTTAAAGGGAAAAGCAAAGTTTAAGATCATCTTATAGAAAGACACTAGATTTAAACCCTTGCATTAATATAAGTTGGGAAAGCCTTGTTTAAGTTACCTGAACTTAGGGAACAGAGATCACCTGTTAGGAGCTGGGCTTCTGCTGTTGTCCAGAGACTTCGGAATGTATTTCTTGAGTGAGCGCATTGCGGTTAATTTCTAGAAATAGATGCACATATTTTGAGTCCTCTCTTTGGTGTTACAACTTGATTTGTAGTAAACTGGCTGACTAGCTGCTTTAGATCGTCTGTACAATGGCTTAATTATTATTTTTTTTGGTCTTATGTGTTAATTATTTTATGGTTATAGATTAGCGTGTGCGTGAGTGTGTGTGTTTGTGTGTGTGTGCGCGTGTGAAGTGCTGTCAGGCTGTGGCTGACCTGTAGGGTTTTCAAGGCGGAATGGCCTGCCCAAGGAGGTCCAGAAGGCTCCCACACTCTTGGCTTTCTGCAAGCTACGCAGCGCTGTACAAAATGATTCAAGCAGTTGTTTGGACAAATTATTAGGGGCTGTGGTATGTATTAGGGTGCGTAGTTTTTTGTTAGTTGGATCCTACAGTGTAATTTCGCATCATTTATTGTGTCGTGTTAGCACTCATGCTTTGCTTCAGTTCTTTTTTTTAATATTTTGGTTGGTTTTTTCAACCCAAATCTTAATTTCATTTTTTTTAAATGTCCCATCCTGTCAATTGTATTGGCTCCCACTGCGTAATTTGTGTTGAGTTCCAGTGAAAAAGATGGACTATGTAAAATAATATTAAAAAGTAAAAATAACAGAGGTGGTTTGCCATTGCCTGGCTCTGTGTAAGAACCCTATGTAAGAACCCTGGAATTCTTTGGTGGTCTCCCATCCAAATACTAACCAGGGCCGACCTTGCTTAGCTTCTGAGATCTGATGAGATCAGGCCAGTTTGGGCCATCCAGATCAGATTGGTAGATTATGTAATAGGAGGTGGAGCAAAATGATTCATGCAGTTGTTTGGACAAATTATTAGGGGCTGTGGTATGTATTAGGGTGTATAGTTTTTTGTTAGTTGGATCCTACAGTGTAATTTCGCATCATTTATTGTGTCGTGTTAATGCTCATGCTTTGCTTCAGTTCTTTTTAAAAATATTTTTGGTTGGCTTTTCAACCCAACTCTTAATTTCATTTTTTTAAAATGTCCCATCCTGTCAATTGTATTGGCTCCCTCTGCGTAATTTGTGTTGAGTCCCAGTGAAAAAGATGGACTATGTAAAATAATATTAAAAAGTAAAAATAACAGAGGTGGTTTGCCATTGCCTGGCTCTGTGTAAGAACCCTATGTAAGAACCCTGGAATTCTTTGGTGGTCTCCCATCCAAATACTAACCAGGGCCGACCTTGCTTAGCTTCTGAGATCTGATGAGATCAGGCCAGTTTGGGCCATCCAGATCAGATTGGTAGATTATGTAATAGGAGGTGGAGGCAATGGATAAAAAAATTGAAAACGATTGCCCTATCTTATGTCCTTTCCATGTTTGTCTGCAAGAATCTGTTAACTGTTATTTTGCTTTGTTCTTTTACAGAAAAGAACTTGAGATCTTCAAAGGTAAGTTAAATTTTGAAGAACATTTAATTTTTGTTGTTCAGTCGCACAGTCGAGTCCGACTCTTTGCGACCCCATGGACCAGATCACGCCAGGCCTTCTGGTCTTCCGCCGTCCTCTGAAGTTTGCTCAACTTCATGTTCGTTGCATCTATGACACTGTCTAACCATCTCATCCTTTGCCATCCCCGTCTTCTTTGACCTTCAATTTAATATTGAACATTTAATACAGTCTTTTAAAAGGGAATTAATCTATGTATGACTACTGTTTCAGTTTTGGTATATTAACTTTTGCTTCCGCATCAAACCCAGTACCTCTGGACACTCCAGTTCTATGAACTGATTTTAGCTATCGTTGTGAAGACAAAACTCTTGCCCCGCTTCATTAGCGATGTATTTTTATTCATTACAACAGCAGCGCACCATTGTGCTGATGTTCCTGATGGGAAAGGCAATTTGATGAGCTCGAATCTTCCTTTCCTTGACTAAGCAGAGAGGGAAGGATTAGAGGTATACACAGACTTCCCATTCACTGTGCTTGTTGTGGGGGTGATTGATCTCAGTGTTGTCATTGCTGTATTGTTGCATTGGTGCTTGGGCCTGCACTAAATGTTGAGGGCAAATATGTGATGTAGAAGATACGTTAATAGTCTCAAACTTAAAAATTGTTAGTGCTTCCAAAAGGGACATTTTGTTTAGTGTTATCCTATGTGTGTCAACTTCAACAAGTTACACAGTGACACAGATTATATAAAATGTCACTTTGTTTTAACTCAGTATAGAAAATATTTTTTTTGCCGTGACAGTTCAAACACAGAGGATACTGGTAGATGGTCAAAGAGAAGGTAAATCTGACCCTGTGCCACTGAGTAATGACCATTTTATATATAAAGTGATAATTATTATATATAATAAAATTGTCATTAATATAAAATGTTGTTGTTCAGTCGCACAGTTGAGTCCGACTCTTCGTGACCCCATGGACCAGATCACGCCAGGCCCTCCTGTCTTCCGCCGTCCTCTGAAGTTTGCTCAATTTCATGTTCGTTGCATCTATGATACTGTCTAACCATCTCATCCTTTGCCGTCCCTGTCTTCTTTGACCTTCAGTCTTTCCCAGCGTCAGGGTCTTCTCCAGGGAGTGCTCCCTTCTCATTTGGTGGCCAAAGTATTTGAGCTTCAGTTTCATTATCTGGCCTTCCAGGGAACAGTCAGGGTTGATTTCTTTTAGGATTGACTGATTTGATCTTCTTGCAGTCCAAGGGACTCTCAAGAGTCTTCTCCAGCACCATAGTTCAAAAGAATCTATTCTTCAGCGCTCGGCCTTCCTTATAGTCCAACTCTCGCAGCCATACATGACTACTGGGAATACCATTAAAAACCAAAACAGTAGACCTACGTGTTAAGTATCTTTAAGTGGAAGACCCTATAGGATAATAGGTTGTCTTCTGCAAGTCTGTAGTAATCATATATTCAGGTTGTGCTTGTCATCTTAAGTATTTGGACGTGTCTCGGTACAAGCTTTACCTGCAATGACGATACTGAGCAGAAAATGGAAATTTTTAGACTTGTTTCCTTTCACTGCCCATACCAGATTTGGCAAATGCTTCTGTTGGCTTAGGAGCTGCTAATCGCTGTCGGATGTCTGTCTCAGGATAATAGTACCTTCCTGAATGTTACAATGGGCATGCGGAAGCACAGCTGTACAGTGGATGAAAAATTCCCATGAATGTGGTGGTCCTGGTCCTGCTGCTTTTGCTGAGAATTTGTTTAAAGTTCTACCAGAACCTTTCTTTTCTGTATTTGGTCATACTTGTGATAAGAAGTTAAAACATGAGAGGATTAATTTGGTCAGTGTTTTTTGGCTGACTCACGGTAGAAGTTTCATCGAACACCTCTTAGGGCTGCTGTTGTGAAAAATGTTCCAGGAAAAATATTTGCATTTCTTGTTTCTATGTTATGTACTGCATGTCTTTTACAAATCGTGAAAAAGGGCAGTACTGCTATGCAGAATAGATAACAGTCAATACAATTTGCCTCTTTGCTGTGATTCTTGTAGTGTACCGAAAATGGCTTGTTACCGTTAATAACTGGGGCCGTGAAGAGAAAATCACCACTGTTTCAGATGGCAATTTTTACATGTATTATGTTCAATGGCTTTTTGCCTCATTTAGCAGCACTATAACCTGGTATTCGTTGACTGTATTTTGCTGGTAGAAGATAATAAATAGGTGGCAATTGTGTATCTCTTAAAGACTTTATTAAAGCATCCATGTCATTTTGTGTGGCAGTATTTATCATCAATATTTTGTGCCTCTCAGGTGGGTTATTTCCTTCTGATCCATTTGTCATTCTTGTTGAAGGGACTGTGGGATGAATAGTTTATCAGCATAACCAGTCTGCCTTGGAACAGTACCTGGGTAGGTACAAGTCCATGGAAAGCCGTGTCTACCACCTTTAAATCCTTTTCAGGAAAGGTGGGATAAAAATGGAACAAATCTTCTAAGGTGTAACTAGATTCCACTCTCCCATTGCCCTCATTCAGTAACCTGAACAGAGATTTCCTATGGCTCTTTTTAGGCACCATCGCCATTTTCCTTGGTGGTCGTGAAGAGAACTTTATGATGTTCTTAAAGGAATTTGTTTTCTTCTCTCCAGCCTAGGAATATGGTGCTGGTGCCTGAAGCAGAAGCCATTTCGTATTGCTGTTCTGTCTATTTAAGGGAAGAGTGACCCTGCAGCTGGAGCCGTAACGGGTTCCTTTTTGCATGGAGTACTGAATGGGATGATTGTGGTATACCGACCTGTTTAAGGGGTGATTGGGGTATACTGACCTGTTTAGATGACATCTGGGAACATGCAGGCCTGCAGCTGGAGCTCTAATGGGTTCCTTTTTGCATGGCGTACTGAATGGGATGATTGTGGTATACTGACCTGTTTAAGGGGTGATTGGGGTATACTGACCTGTTTAGATGACATCTGGGAACATGCAGGGCTATTTTTGGGCAGGAACACACAGGAACGGAGTTCCGGCTGGCTTCCAAGTTCGCCACGCCCAGCAGGAACGAATTAGCATATTAGGCCACACCCAACAGCAGAAACTCATTCGGATTGGCTACATTAGGGGTGTGTGACCTAACATGCAAAGGAGTTCCTGCTACAAAAACACCCTGGGTTTTGACAACAAACAAGGTAAACAAAATAAGAAGCAAAAGGTGGGTGTGGCTGGATGAGCACACTTCTGGTAACATGGTTGTGT